AGTGCCCTGAATCAGATATACTCTGTACTTGAAGGAGTACAAAGTCAACACAATAAGCATAAACAGGTAGAGGAACGTACTGCGCTCGCTGCTGCATCTAAAGCCCAAGCCCTATGTCGTCTTCTCACGAAAAGCATAAGGAAGAACGCAGACCACAACACTAACTCCTTACTGCACGATGGAGTGACATATAATGACCAAACCGTCATATGTGAACTATTAAGTGAATGGTTTTCTCGCAACGGGAATATACCTCATCCTCCAGATATCGACATTAAGTACATCGGCAAAAGCTATCTTAGTACCATAAACTTCGACATTAGGACTATACATACCGTCATTAAAACCCTTAAGCCAACTGCGAGTTCTGGTGCCGATGACATCCCTCCAAACCTTTATAAAATGTCAGAGCCTGACATACAGACGCTACTACTCAAAATATACACATTATCTTTAAAGACAGGTACATATCCGGAAATCTGGAAGGTAACGTATGTTCTTCCCAAACACAAATCCGGACCGAGAATCCTGGTCGAAAACTACAGACCTATAAATATCACTCCAGTCATATCACGCATAATGGAAAAAGTGATACAAAATCAACTATCTGATCACCTACTTAAGGAAGATCTAATAGACCCATCACAACACGGCTTCATTAGAACAAGGTCATGCAGTACATGTCTGATAGACTTTTTTAATGAGGTTACTCGTATACGCGACCAGAAGAAACTAGTGGTTATACTATACTTCGACATTAAGAAAGCCTTTGATAAGGTACCTCATAATCTTCTAATCAACAGATTTAAGTCAGTTGGAATTATAAATCCTTTTTTGCAATGGATCAAGTCTTTTCTTACAAACAAATATCAAATAACCTAGATTAGCTCTAAAACATCTAAACCTCGACCAATAACCTGTGGTGTTGTGCAGGATAATGTCTTGGATCCATTGCTCTTTATAATCTACATCAACAATATATGCAAGTGCTTTAGCACAGGTAAGACCTACCTCTATACCGATGACTTAAAAGTCATCTATAAAACTGACATTTGCGATTTAAGTAGTACCATGCAAGCAATCCAACATGAACTCAAGATGGTAAACGACTGATGCAAACGCTGGAGGTTAGAGCCTTCAAATTGGTATTATGTTGTTCTGGCGTGCTGCCATATACAATAATATCATCAAGGTAGATTAAACACTGGTGCGATACGAGATCTTGCATAACTGTCTGCATCAATCGTTGGAAGGTGGCTGGGGCATTAGTTAGCCCGAAAGGCGTTACTTGAAATTCATATAAGCCATTAGGCACTACAAATGCAGTTTTTTTCTATCTTGGGGTCGGACTTCCACTTGCCAATACCCTGATGCTAAGTCTGGAGTTGAGAACCAGCGAGCACCTTTCATGGCATCTAAGGTAGCGTCTATCCGTGGAAGTGGAAAAGAATCACGCTTAGTTATAGCATTAAGGCGTCGGTAATGTACACACAGTCGTAGGGAGGAATCCTTCTTTTTTAATAAGACAATTGGCGATGCCCAGGGTGACGAAGATGGAACAATAATCTTTTTTTCTAGCATACCTTTTATCATTGATTCTAAATGAGGATGATAATGCACCGGGACTCTGCGAGGTGGTTGGCGTAATGGCATTGGTCACCTGTAACAATGGAATGTTGCACAATGGTTGTCCGATTTCCATAGATATTCTCCGAGAAAACAGAGCTAAATCGTTGGAGTACGTCAGTGCTAGCTCGACGGTCCTTTTCACTAATTACTTGGTTATCTTGTACCTGACGTACAATCTCTGTAATTCCCACCTGGTCTACGGTTTCGGTTGGCATTTCCTGGCGTTGTAGTTGCACGACAACCCCGCCAATTTTAGCTTCCGACTTATTCATGTCTATAGAGGCCTGATATCTTAACATGAAGTCAACTCCGAGTATCATATTCCAGGTCAGTGTGGGGCAAACCAGGAATTCATGTCGAAAAGAGTTCTTGTTTATTGTTAGCTCTAACCCGATCTTAAAACACGCAATCAAGGGGTCTCCGCTCGCCGTGATTAATGTAGAGGAGCATTGTTTACGCTGAGTGCTGTGGTTAAGTCTCTGCAAGAAATCTTCCTTAATGAGGGATATTGAAGCTCCAGTGTCTAAAAGTATGTCTAACTTGATGTCTTGTACTCTACCTTTAAATGTAGTTGGATTGACATGATTAACATAGGAAGATAAGTAACCAAAACGCCGCTTACCTGGTTTACGGGGGCAGTTGTGACCGCATTTTCTGGCGTTCCTGCCAAATCTTTTGCAATATATACAGTCAGCCTGACGCCTATTGTGATTTCCCCATGCTGGTTCTTTATTCCACCTCGAATTTGACTGTCCGCGGATAGCACCTCGGCCGGGAAGGTCAGTCACAGCCATTGTAGTCTGGCAGGTGTCCGAGCCACTAGATTTTGTAGCTCGTTCCACAGTCGTTACTGATGATGAATGTGCACTGGATAAATTCACTAGTTTGCCAGCGGCCAGGAAGCGTAATGTTGTTCTTTTTACGTCAGACGTATCAGTTGGTGGATTTCGAAGAAAGTGTTCTTTGAGTGGTCCGGGCAACAGGCCCTCGAAAAACGTGAACGTATTAGTTCTTCTCGTCCCATCATATCTAAGCGAGGGAATGCTTGTACTGCGACTTGCTGCAGGGAATGAAGATAGTCTATTGGACTCTCACTCGCTTTCTGGTGGCGTGATAAAAACTGAATTGTCATCTGCTGGGTGTCTACGGGCATGGAAAAACAGTCGTCTAGAATTTTTCAGTTTTGTGAGAGCGTATTACTGGCCGAAAAACCATTCACTATAGCCCTGCGTACTGCTTCATCGCTCAGATAGGAAACGAGGTAGTTGAAATGCTCGGTCAATGGAACTCTCTGAAGGTACGCTGTGATTTTAACTTTCCAAACGGAGTAATCTGATGATGTTTCGAGCAGTGGTGGCTGGCGTGGGGTTGAACCGGGAGCAGCCCTGATTGGAATCAGAGGGATTCGTCTAGGTTCTCATCGCGTTTTTCCGTCTGCACCTCCATCACCAGTTGTAACACGTGTAATCAGCAGTCACTGGAAGGCGAAAAGACCTAAAGCCACAACAAACACAATGTTAACTGAACACTTCACACCACAGAGAGAACGCGGAACGGAGACCAAGGGTCATTTATTTTAAAATTAAAATTCGCGGGTTCTGTACAGAAAGAGAGCTAGTTTACAAAACGGTCTTATGAGTCGTCCTGTAAGTTTAGTACGTGCGGGGCTTGCTCTTCTTCTTTTGAAGCGTTTATTCTTGCTTGCCCTGCAATAGAAAGAAAACAAAATCTATTAACAGCATCATACATGATGATTTTAATCCCATTACAGTTGCAGGCTTTTATTAAACGCGCCTCCATAGGTTATGCGATTAATAGACATAAGGAGACATTAAAACAAAATGAAAACAGACAACGTGTTGAAATAATTAGATGGCAGGAATAGGTAACCCAGATACTCAAACAGGCCGCAGGCAGCAGATAGGAACAGGTAAGACTTGACCAACCGTGCCGAATCACTATCGACACAACTTCTCCAATGCTTCGCACAAACTTTATCATGCAGGTGTTCGTGCAAGCGTTAAGCTCATGACAGATCAATCTTGTTGGCCTGGTATGAATAAAGACGTGAGGGAGTGTGCGTCTTCCTATGTGAACTGCTACAAATCCAAGGTGATTAGTCAGAACAAGCGTTTCCTTGGCCCATTCAAAATTCCCGACGCTCGCTTCAATCACGTTCATATGGATTTGGTGGGACCTTTACCATATTTAAATGAATAATCTTATCTCTTCACATGTATGGATCGCTTGACACTATGGCCAGAGGCAGTAACCACGAAGGACAATACTGCTGAAACAATGGTCCACGTTAGATGCTACTAGCCGAATTAAGTTATCGGAAAAGCGTTTACCAACACCATGATCAATTTCCATCTTTACACTAAAACGAATTTTCCTATCTCCCTATGCATTGCGCTTGTGTCATCAAAGTCGAAAAACTTATATAGGCCAAAGGTAGGCGTTTAATGGTCGACTGCAGCAATCAATGAATCAGCAAAATGAATATTTTTTTGTGCTATCTACACTGATACTGACCTCATTAGTTTGACTGAACACATCATAACTAAAGGCGCTCAGTCACTTCTCCGCATCAGATCATGAGTGCGCACGTCATGCTAATCATCCTTCACAACAACTGAACAGCTCACACCAAACGTTTTTCGACACATCGAAAACTTTCTAAATATATCTCCGAACTCCTTCATTGTAAACTTATGATTTAACTGGCCGAGTACCTGTCAAGTGAAAGGTGTTACGGGTAAAGGCGTTGTCAAACTCTGAATATCTGTGGCATCTTTAGGACAGTATTAACCCATTAATATAAGGCACGTGCTAATTGCAACGCAACGGCTGCTAAATGTTTTAGAGTAATGTGATCAGTTAGTTGAGTTTTCACATTCTTTGACGTAAAAATTTTTTCGAAATTTACTCGACATGTGACACATTGGCTAGAATATTCCAACGAAGTAGATGGTTCATATCTTGAAAATCATGCAAAGGAACTCAACTGTTTTCAAAGTCTAGGGACTTTTTAAGCGGCGCCTTTTTTCCAGCTCAGCTACGACGAGCGGTTAAAATGATTGCATTTTTCGTTTATCTTTTCGTAGCAGGCTATATGAGCTCACGTTCGTCTCCAGTATCTTAAATAATAACCTATTATTTAACATCTCTTACACATTTTGCTATCTTTAGACTGATTGCTCATCCGAGATCATATCCCAAGGTCCGAAATCAGAGATCGAATAAAGTCAGTGTCAGAATTAATTTTCCTCACCAGACAGAGATAATGGAGAGCAAAAAATTGTGTCAGCATCTTAGTTGAAGTTTTCAGTTATAACCTGGATTTTTACTGAGAAAAAAGCCGTAAGGACATGACATTCTTATTATTGACGACGGAAAAACCGTTTAAACCAATATGTACCCGCGCTGCAATCAATTGCAACAAGGTAGGATGGGGGCACAGTATGCTTGTTAGTTTACGGGTTTTCGCGCACGTGTAACGTATTGTCGTGGATTTTATGTGTCGTTATTTATCAGCTATTAACTGCCTTTTTTCCGTCATACATGACTTTTCGTAATCTTTGTGATTGGAAGATAGCTTTTGTTTCAATTTATAAGCAGTTTGACGTATTTCGTGCTCACCACCTAAGTAAATATGTAGCTGGCGTAATATGGTTTTTTTTAACAATACTAAGTCAAAGAAGTCAAATCACCATTTTTCTAGTCAAAAATAGATTACAGATTGAGTTTTCATGAAAATAAGCCGTAAAAAGAATTATATATGGTTCACCTCCTTGATTATGGTGACGGCAAACACAGATGTTGGTAGTCGTTTATAAAATGTAATTAGAAAGAAGTAAGCGTTAAAGTAACTATGAATATTATATAAATTGTTTGTATTTAGCCATAAAAGGTTATTTGGACTATAGGTAGCATTGTTTTGTACTGAAGTGACATATTACTGTGTAAGGTATCAGAGAGAAATTATGTGAGTAACAATAGACGTTGATAGTCTTTTTTACCGGTTTTCTGAACTTATACAGAAATAGTGTGTAACACCACATTAAATATGCACGAAATCTTCATAAGTAAATCGATGGGTGTCTCTTCTGAGCATGGTGACGAAACCATGTCTTACTTAATACTGACTTATGATGTGTCTGTTAGAGGGTTGACGAATAATTCTCTGTAAAGGAAATGCACAATCGCAGAAGAAAATGTGAACAATGACCGCCTCTAATCAAGCCGTTCAAGGTCGCTGAAACGAAAGGGCGGGCACATTTCAAAAGGACCTAACGTTTAAACCGTGCCTAGGATGGGAGTGAGCCTATGTCTGGGGTTATTGACTAATTGTTTTTCTGGATCAATAAGTTTATTTACGACAGCTGCAGTTAGTTAAAAGCTAATAGAACTGGGAGTTTGTACGGATCTCGTTCGGGGATTTACTACAACGGCAATCCCGCCAACTGATCGAGTTGCCCATTACATTTCTTAGCCGGTTTAACTATCTGGTTTTAGTTCCAACTTTAAAATTGTATTAGTTTAAGGCCTGCGTTATTTTCGACTGTTAGTGATTGCTTTCGTTGATAAGTGTAAGTGTTGTGCGCGTTTAACATGTACGTCGTTGGCGAATCTTTACTTTTGTTCTCTAATCCAACTATCACACATTTAATTATTTTATTTTAAAGCATAGATATTGGTACAGAAAGTCACCAAGTACAAATGCACCACAAAGATCTCATTTGATATGTATGAGGGCTGTGATACTGCTCGTGTCCTCACACCGGAGCATGCGGTTTTTTAAAGGGGTCACACCCGGAGCCTTCGATCTAAAGGTCTGATCCACATGGCAGTGGAACATCATGAGGAGATGCAGTCCCATGGTAGTCGGTGACCAGCGATTGGTTCATACGACATTTGTTCCCTCAGTGTACTGGAGCCCCATGTCCACCATTGGTTTAGAATGGGGGTTTTCCAACTCCCCTAGGTAAACTCTCCATGTCCACCAACCCGGTATAAGCGCTGAACATTGGCTTTTCGTCCTCTCAATTTCGTAAACAACACCCCCGCTACGAGAAGGAAGTGAGTAAGACTTCCCTGGCAGAGGCTATATACGTGTGGTCATGTGAGAGCATCTCGAGAGGGAGAGTGGATTCTCCCCACTCTCGGTCGTACCAAGGTATTCTGTAACTGTTACTCATGCTCCACTAGTATACAAAGTACCTTCTAGCTGGGTGCAAACCAACGTACTTTTCTTAGACTTAGGATTGATGTATTTTGGAGATTTAGGTGTAATTTCATTTAGCTTTGCTGGAATTTGGATCAGGCTGTTTTGTTGATGAGACTGTAATTTATGTACGACCTTTTATCGACACTAAAGTCACCTTGAGAATATCTACTTACTAACTAGGACTAGGTAGGGGTTACAAATCAGCGCGAAGAATTAGAATTATGACTTAATGATGACGATTAGGGTTGGGAAATAGATTCACTGTTGTGGTGACGAACTGACATCAGCTAAAATACTAAAACGCTATTTTGCCAAATGAATGTTTGAATTTCGTGCCAAAATCTGCTATCTAGCGTTGAATTGTTTTACAGAACATAGCATTAAAACCACTTATGAGACTGTACTAAACCATATTCTGCGATCCACTCAGCTTTATTTGCGGCAACATAATAGGTATAGTTACTTACATCAAGGAAAGTTTTTTCGACGTTATATCTCTCGCGTTGAGTCTCACTCCAAGTCCACGCCTAGTATAATCTCACTATGCTTTAGCTAATGCTATTTTCACTGTTTCTTCATTTTGTCTTCACAAAATTATTTTTACTACTAACCAGATATCTGTCTAATGTATGAGCAGATTTCATCTACTGTGGAACACTTTAAGTTATAATAATTTTTATTTCCGCCTTTCAGTTTCTACCTACCACCAAATGCTATTGCTGGCCAATGTGAATGGAATCTGCACATGTATGTTGTAGTTTAACATATTATGCATCGGTGTGATTTTTCGAGGTACTGCTTGTAATTTCGGTTCCTCTCTGAAAAGCTTTGTGATCGAAAAAGATAAATAAAGAAGAAAGTTGAAGAAAATCAACTAGTAGAAAGTCAACATTCCTGTTTTCCGTAAAACTCGATTATCCAGCTGGGTAATTCGATAAACCAGTCCTAAGTCGTAAACCCATCTCTACTTATTATCAATGATGTTCAAGAGGCTACAGATTTTGCAAATTTTTCTACATTGATCCCTGAAATGTCAGGTAAAAAAAGTAGAGAGCCCTATCGATCGTCAATTAGGATGGCCAATTCATATGACAGGTTGCCATATGCTCTTGATCAGTAGAATTCAAAACGTTGATATACTTTTTACGCTTTTAAATGACAGCGACTACCATAAATTATGTTGACCAGAAAAGGCAAATGAAGTTTTAATGTTAAGAGCGTCAGTTTGCTTACACCCAGAAACTTGACTTGGAGTGAATATTTAGTCAGTTCACTCATGTCTAAAACCAGTTTAGCTTTACCGCGGTTCATTGTTCACAGCCTCCAGTTTAGCATTAGGCTGTTTTCGAAGCCAAGGTTTCGAATACAATATTAGTAAGATTGATTTCTCTGTAGCTTTCATAAGAGGACTTTTGTCGTTCCTGTAAACCATCAGTACTCTTGAAAAAGTTATTTCACGAGTCTAGGTCTTCTCGAGTCATATCTGTCTCTTCTAATAACATTGATACTGCTACTAGTACTACTCTGGCGCTTCGTCCTGACGTGTGGCAACTCAAAGCCATACACATGTGCCAAGTTGTGTTTGGTTGACTGAGTGTTCGCGACTAGCCTGATAGAATTACCTTCAGCTACCAGGTTACTGGTACAGCACCTCAACCAATGTGGTTGTTGGCACTAAGCGTCTATCCATAAAGGAGTTTGTAACTAATCCATCAAGATTAGGTCTCACTATTGAGAGTCTAATATCAACCTCGCCGCAGCCCTTGATGAAAATGGGTAGCTGGAAAGTACATGTCTCTCAAAATATCTTGTCTTTCCTGTAGTTTGGTCTGAAAACATGTTTTTCAAACATAGTTCTACTGATAAATAACTTTAATTAAAGTTTCTAATGCTTCTACTTGGGGTGTGACTCCCTAAGGAGATATCTGCTGTGGGCACACGGACAGTATCCCAGCTCTCAAATAAAACAAGATTTATGTAGAGTATATCTATTTAGTCCCTTCTTGTACCAATGTTTATGTGTTTAAATAAATAAAGCTTCTACATAGTTGTGTAGGGTCGTCTATTGTCATTACCTTTCTTTGTCACTTATTTTGGTTTCCTATCATTGCTCCATGTAGACTTCTTGTCAGTCCGCTTTTCAGTCAGTCAGTAACAACGTAGAACTTCGTACGTACGTACATCAGTTCGAGTTGCCACACCACATTAGCACAGAGATGCCGTGGTCGATTCAAATCCCGTAGTGGTAGAGGTAATAAAAGTATAAGCAGTAATCGGGAAGATTAGTGCTTGGAGATGTTACTTAAAGAGTATAATACAGTGAAATAAATTTGGGAAGAGAAAAAAAAGACAAGGAGGAATAAGTAGATCAAAATTTGGGAGAACACAAAGAGTGTATGCACCTGTGCCGTTGCCAACGATTTTGAGCCATGTTTGCTTTTAAGTTTCGTTTATGTGTGGAGGTCATTTGGATGAGTTACCAAGGCGTTATCAACTGGGTAGAAGCTTCTTAACCCCATTGGGTTGTACTAACCTTTTCGCTTAGTTTGATAACAAATGTTACTGCTATTTTTATAAAAATTGCTAATGTCCTTGTGTTAAGCATCCTATTTGTAGTCAACTTTAATGGTTTGATTACTCTGCCGTAAATACTTTCTTTACATTTATATCCTATACCTGCTTTCAATAAGATCGTTCGTTTCTGCGGAGACTTAAGGTTAACATCTTGCTATTGACCATCTAATGAAGTTGGTATGTTGCAATAGACATACACTCTTTGAAGGTTGTAACTAAATATTTCTCAAATTATTTGAGATGGGATTACTCCTGTAATATGAATTAATGTCAATTCTTGGTGTAATTGTCATAAAATCTATCAAATCTGTTGCTTAGTGAAAATTACAGGTATGTTTCTTTTTATACTATAGGTTATAATGTAAGTATTGGCAAAAGCACATGGACCGAAGTTTATTGCTTGCAGACTTACGAGCTAAAAGTTATCACTCATTTGACCTTCCATTATTCTAGTAAAGGCAGTTTTACGCTGAAACAGTCGACATCAAGTTAGGAGTTGTGAAAAATACCATATATCACAACCATAACTCCGTACATTTTTACACTGCAGTTATCACAAACTCAGTTCTTAACAAACCGAATGAATCTTATTCCTGAGTCCGGACTTCATTCTCGTTGTATCTGTGTGGACTTTTTACAATGAGCTGTATTCTCATTTGAGTACTTATAAAGCGTTTTGCATTTGACGCAAGATGGTTTGTATGTATTATAAATGATTATATTAGTTCAGTGGTTAGATTACCTTAAGGTTTGATAAACCCGAATGAAACCTGGGTTGATTTTTATAGAACTGATGAATTGGGCTAGATTTTTATTTAGTCTGTTTCAAAGTGAGAATTTGTACATTGATCTATCTGCCATTTCTTTTCACTTTTCAAGGTTCAAAATATATAATGTTTTGGGAATGGCTGAAAGTTTGAGAAACTTGCCTATTTACAAGAAGGATAGTTTTACTCAATTCGTCCCTCATTCTCGAAGTACTGAATCCCGAATTACTTACGTTTGTACCTCCATCCGTAATCGGTCGTGGGTCATTAATGGAGGTCGGCATATGTTTTATGATTTAAGTCTTGATAGCAAAAGAGAAGAGTACATTTCTTCTCAGACGGGGAAAGATGATGTTGAGTGTCCTCCAAATAAAGTCCCTCGTCTAAGTGCTTTGTAATTTATTTATGCCCTATTAAAACCTTTTATTTTGTAGATTATTTATTGTATTTTATCTACTTCAGATATCTGTAAATATTTTGAAATTCAAATATTACTTCTAAAGTTTTTTCTTTACTACTGTTCAAATGGGTAACTTGAAACACTCAATGTATTTACTCAAATAACTTACTAAAGCTATCCTCTATTCTGTAACGCAACCTGCGGTGAGCCTAATAAATTTATTTTAATTCGGATTTGTTTTTTATGAATTTGGCAGTAAACCTACCTATCTATCGTTAGCCAATTCTGCCATTATCATTAGATTATTCACATTTTTGCTCTCAACCCAGGTATAAGCGATTTATATATTAAATAAATATCGACGTACTCATGTGTTTAAATGTAAATCTCAGTTAACCGTCATAACTTGAGAAGTATGTACAGTTATATCTGTATCATGTGTAGTAGACCACTTCTGACAAACTCAATGCCAATATTAGGGGCTGGATTCTACCTAAAGCCGATAAAGCTCTAAGAAGTTTCTACTCATTCCAATAGGTTTCCTCCCTCGTAGTTATTTCTTTTTGATTGTTAACCAAGCTAGATATGTTGTATTGAAATTTTGATAAATAACTGACAGACTTATGTTCATGAAACCGTCAGCCGTGCAATCAACTGGCTGAGTTCATTGGTCTAACCGCAGTCGAAAGTTATAACGTGTTCTTTTAATGCTACTAACATTTCAGTTGAAATAAACATTCCATTTATAGCGTGTCTCTTTTTCGAAGTTATCTTAAAACTGTAACTTAAACTCATACCTAATTTCCTCAGTCATGTGATCTAACACTACTATTTAACCTAACAATTCATTTCTCCAAATTCCCATTTACTCAACTACAGTGATCATTTCGCTGACTCGATAAGTGTCAGTAGTGCACAGGAAACAGTGCAAGTGTAACAAATGTCTAATGAATATAAATATACGTAGTAGCTCTGTTGGTTTACGATTACTGAAATGAACACATCACTATTCTGCCTTGCGAACGCTGAAATGCTAGTGACTTCTGTCAGTACATACATTTTTCAGAAGATGTACGCTTTAATTCCGTACTATGTTATCGGACTATTTGAAATGACTTCAAGTAATAAAACCAAACTCATTAACAGAAGCCTCAATTTCTTATCATTAGGAGCTTCTTAAGTTATTGTGGTATTTACAACTCATTTACTTTATGATAAAAATTCGAAAACAAATTTGCATACTTTTAAAGGTAAATACAATTTTTTTTTGGCAGAATAGTAGTCGACCGGAAATGTGATTAAGGATGGTTAAAGTCTCGGGGACCAGTTGGACAAGATGGCCTGTAATTATTAAAGCGAAAAGTTGGTGATGGGATTACACAACCAAGAAGCGACTTAATTCTAACTACGTTTGTTAAAGTGTCACACTTAAACTAGAATGTAGGCATAATTCCCACTTACTGACAACAATAATTTGTGGAAGACAGTAGCAAAGTTACAAGAAGTTATATCCTTTACAGGACTAAACAGAATTGCCGTGGGACTTGTTAGTCAATTACAGTACAAAGTTAATACGTATTTGATGAAAACAACTCAATAAGGTTTGTTAAGAATACAGAAAAGCGTGATATTTTGCTTCATGAGATTGGTGTTTTAGCGAATAGTTGTTCGAATGCATTATGTATTTCTGGCAACATCTGCGTAGTTATCATGGAACGACCGTATTTAGCGTATGCCAATTGTGAACATCTTCGTGTAAGAGAACAAGCTGCGAATGCAGCTCCAATAGTAGCTGCAAACAGTAGATTCCTAGAAAATTTTAGTAATAGGAAAAGAAACAAAAGTTATGTGTATATAATTATAAACAATGTAGCATCTAGTACATATACCAATTTGCAACAACACACCAAGAAATGGTATTAACTAGACCTCGTTATTTATATACATAGCAAAGTGCGTTTACTGCTGTATTATTAATTTAGGTGATAAAATTATGTACAATCCATCATGTGTGTGCAAATCCGATTTATCGTGCTAAAAATTACCATACTAGGAAGAAAGAAGGGATGAAAAGTGAGAACAATCGTTCTGATAATATTGGAGAAATGGAGGGGAACAATTACATGAAATAAGAAGTAAAGATTAATACGATGTTTAAAATTTTAATGAACAGATTTGTATGTGAAACTTAGACTAGTCTCATGTTACCCCAGCTCAAGCTTTTAAACACTGATCACGGACGTCTCATATGCCACAATTTTGGCGTGCCCTGGATGTTTTTGTTTGACCATCCTAATAACTTATCCATTCAAATATTTTTTTGTAAAGAAGGTTGGAGCGACTAAAATCTGGAATATTCACATTTCGTAAATCGAGTGGCCATATCCTAACGACAAGAAAATAGCATCGGGTGAACTCCATCGGACTAGACTCAGCTTTCAATAAATATTCTAATGTTTAATTCATGCAAGAGACGAAGTAGGTATGCAAAAACCGAAGGAAGAATCCATGTTGGGACTATAATTACATCGTCTATCGACCTTTCTAGATAAGTGGATTTACTAGAATACTTAATATCATTGTTAGGACCTCTTACATTTAAACTTGCAATAGATAAGAAGTCATGAAGGAAAAACCAAGCCATCCTCTTTAAAATATTGAATTTGGTTCATAGTGTCATTCAGTTGGTTATAGAATTAGTATTCTGTGACTTCTGTTGCACTTATGTGGATGTACGTTTTTGGACAGACAATACATGACTAACTCTGGAGCGGTTAAACACTGGTCTTACAGGTTCCCAAGATAGAAACATATGAGACATCCTTGACATCGGTAGATGAACAGGAAATTTGAAGCATTTTACTATAATCTTAGAAATAAATAGCAACACTTCCGAATTTTCCCCCAAACTCCTTGTCGTCGGATTTGCAAGTGTTGTAAATAGGGTTTACGAAACGTTTATTACTTTGAATGAAATGCCTTAGCAACAGTCACAACAGTGAACATATATCATCCACTGAATCCTTAATAATTAAAGATTCCATGTTGATATACTTCTAGTCAACTTGATTCTTTATTTTTATTGAACTTATTCGACTAAATTAGGTTTTTATACTATTGAGAAATGCGTCAACTTGAATTGTCAAAACATTCGAATAAATTTCTAATTATTCTTTGCCTTTTTATACACACTGACATACCTCCCATATTAACATAGTTAAATGGATTAGCTATTTACCTTTAAATAGAGGCTTAAGGTCAGCTCCATATTCGATTTGTACAAATGGGTAGAAATATTAATCCATTACACCGTAAATATGTCCTACATTCTAGAATGTGAACAGGTAATTAGCTTGTGCACCCATGATAAACATAAAAACAACACAGAGACGTTTCCATTTTCATGTTTCACATCAGGAATGTAAATTGAGTACATTTATAACGAAGTACGCCATATGCTTGATATTTTATTGACTGCTAAAAAGCAATTGTAACTTACGGATTGTTATCATTAAATTGGTGAAACCAGTAGTTGAAGACTGACATTGTACCAGATAGAACATCGCCCTGTCCACCGCATCTGCGGGGTGATCCTTGATCCACACATTGTACAGCTTTTAATAAATAAAATCAAACGATAAGATGGAATGACGAATATAATTATAGTGATGAAACTAAATACGTTGGGAGCGAATTTCCAAGTGAGTTCAATATTAATAGGTATGTGTCCATGCAAGCATGTTCGGGATGCGATTCTCTCCCTCGAAATGCAAAATGTTGCTTCAGGATTGGGTTGCATCGACACTCGAACTAGTGATAGGGAGTGAAGTAGTTGAGTGTGTCGACCGCTTCACTTATCTTGGAAGTCTCATCAGCCCTTGTGGTCTGGTGTGTGACGAAATCTCAGCACGGATACAGAAGGCTCGACTAGCTTTTACCAGCTTGCGTCATTTATGGCATAGGCGAGATATCCGTCTATCAATCAAAGGACGTGTTTACTGCGCAGCAGTTCGTTCCGTCCTACTTTATGGCAGTGAAACATGGCCGGTAAGAGTAGAGGATATTCGTAGGTTACTAGTATTTGATCAAAGGTGACTTCGAAATATTGCCCGTATATCCTGGGACCATCGAGTAAGTAATGCAGTTGTTAGGAAACGAGTACTAGGTAAGGATGGCAAATCAATTGATGAAGTGGTGAAACTTCGTCAGTTGAGATGGCTGGGACACGTGTTACGTATGCCCAACGACGGACTGCCTCGACGTGCGATGTTCAGTGGTATAGGAGTAGGTTGGAAGAAAGCTAGGGGCGGCCAGACCAAAACATGGCACAAGTACATGAAGTCACTGACAAGTGGTCTGAGTCATGTTGGTAGGTGTAGACTACCTGGTTGGGGACCGCGAGATAATAGCAACCGATGGTTAGAGACCTTGAATGACATGGCTCAAAATCGTTTGCAATGGCGCAGGTGCATCCACTCTTTGTGTTCTCCCAAATTTTGATCTCCTGATCCTCCCTTGTCTCTTTTTTTTCTCTTCCCAAGTTTATTTCACTGTATTATACTCTTTAAGTAACATCTCCAAACACTAATCTTTCCGATTACTGCTTATACTCTTATTACCTCTACCACTACGGGATTTGAATTGACCACGGCATCTCTGTGCTAATGTGGTGTGGCAACTCGAACTGATGTACGTACGTACGAAGTTCTACGTTGTTACTGACTGACTGAGGTATGTGTCCATGGGCGAATTCAGTAGCAGGATAACTATTTACAAACACGTCATTTTTATTTAAACTTAGCAATTCTCGAACATTTACTACACATACTTCTGTTGCAACATAATAACCCAAAGGATAGAATAGTAACATTGAAAAAATAGCAATCCGACATCCCGACCGTTGTTGATATCTTGACGTGGTGGTCGGGCTTGCCTATCGTGAGCTATACTGGCTGGAACAACCGTTCCTCAAGGTCCTACCATGACAGACTAGTCAGTTGAAGAGCGGTAAGACTAAAAGCAACAAACTCAAGGTCCGAAGGCGAAATTGTACTGCTGACTATACAGAGGTGTGACAGCATTAAGCTGTTTCTTTCATACAAACAGCATGACAGTGATATTGCCTACCCACAATGAGGTGTGGTTAGAAAAGGTCAACCCTAAAAATGCACACCACGTCTTATCCTACGGATATCCGTCTCCGACGGTAAGGTCTCAACAAATACGGAACTAACACAAGAAGGTCGTATGTGATCGACCTCAAGCGGTTGTCCCTCGGGCACTGCGGTCACGCTTTCAGGTCACTAAGACTACCTCTTATTATTCCTCCTACATCGACTCTCAACTCTAAACTTTCTCATTCGGCTTCCTCCTCAAGTATCACCGTATCTAGTGAACAAAACACTGTCCCAGGTCTACCGAAACCTCGCTCCAAACTTTACATTGGAGCCTTCAACGTACGCACCCTATGTTAAATCGGTCAGCAGGCTCCCTTGGTTAAAACCCTAGAGTCTCTTTCCATTGATGTATGCTGTGTCTCCGAAACACGCATACAGGATTCCAGTGTGGTCATTCACTTGACCTCACCTCGGCAAAACGGAGAGCCAACGAGATACACTCTACGTGTATCTGGTGACCATATGGCCAGTTCTCGTGGACTGGCAGGTGTAGGCATAGCACTAAGGATGAGGGCGGAACTGTAGTGAACAAGAACACGGGTGGGGACTAACGGATGTATTTAGCACAACAATTACAGTCTATCTCAACAAAATATTCATGCATCAAACAAAACTGGACTATTTCCGTTGCAAACACCAATCCATTGTTCATGCATTTCCTTACAAATTCCAATGTGTTCTCGCTCCACCTTTCTTGATCTTCGCCATCTTCCTCTGCCAGACATTACGTTCCTTTAACGGACGTTATATACTACTTATATCAATATAAGTAGTTCACACCACAGGAACAAGCACTGCTAGAGTGGATCCCCGTCAACAGTCGTCTATGTGCTGTTCGGCTAAACGGCTCCGTAAGAACTCGGAAGGATAGGAACACACGTTGTTGCCTTTTCGTGGTTTCTGCCTACGCTCCCACTGACTGCAGCTCAGATGAATTTTACAGAAATCTAAACGTTCAGACATAGTACTGGTAGGGGGTGACTTTAATGCCCAGATAGGTAGTTTAAACCAAACAGAAAGGCATTTAGGTTGGTGTATTAATATTTCGGTACAGCGAACAGATAATGGTGATCGTCCGCTGCAACTGTGCTCAGACAATCGTTTACTTTTTGCAAACATAAACTTAAAGCAAAAGGAGAGACATCGTCTAACATGGCGACCCCCTACACCAAACCAACGATAGACTCAAATAGTGCATATTTCCATCAGTCATCGTTGGAGAGGGTCGATTGAAGATTGCCACTCATTCTGGAGTACCTGCTTGGACTCCGACCATGCCCTAATACGGGCATGGTGCCTCACTGGACGCAAAAAGGCAAAGTAAGAAGACTCATTAGAACTGAATTGAGTAACGAGAAAACCAAAAGTAGGTTCCAGGAACAACTGAGGTCACACTTAGGTAGTTCTGAAGACGAGGCTAACTCAGATGTTGCTTGGAAAAATATACAAGCAGCTGTGGAAACAGCAGTGACATCTATTAGTGATTTAAACAACAAGGTTATAAAGAAGTAATGGATTTCTTCAAGGTCTATTGCACTGATGGATTCTCGTAAACTCATCCCATCAGGTTCTGAACATGATGAAGAGCGTAAACAAATTCGATCTAGGTAAAGCAAAAATCTAAGGAACGACCGTGAGCAGTGGTGGACAACGAAAGCAAAAGAGATGGAAAAGGCGACGGCTATAGTGAACAAAAGACAGCTCTACAGACTAATAAAAGAAACTGGAATTACTAAGTGTAAGTAAGACTATTTCGGAAAAAGATGACGCCATCATCTGCTCCCAGTCCAGATGAATAGAACGATAGGTGGAATATTTTAGAGAACGGTTCAGCTGGCCTTCAGCTACTCTACAACTACCCTCCATTCACAGACAGTGTGAATGGAACATTGAAGTAGGTCCCCCAACTCTAGCTGAAGTTCAAAAGGTCATAGTTAATTTGATACGAGGAAGGGCAGCTGGTCCAGATGGATTGGCTTCAGAGGTCTTTAAGTATGGTGGTCCAATCTTAGTGATTAGGTTGACTAATATTTTAGCTAAAATCTGGGAGTTGGACGTTATCCCATGTGACTGGTCACAATCGCTTATCGTCCCAATATATAAGAGGGTCAAAATCATCCTGTGAAAACCATAGAGGGATTAATTTAACTAATATAGTATCTAAAATACTAGCCTCGATAATTATCGGACGCCTAACTGAGACTCGTGAACTGCAAACACGAGAGAACCAAGCTGGCTTCAGAACTGGTCTTGGCTGCATTGACCACATATTCACCATTCGCCAGGTTCTAGAACACATGCATACTTATCGGCGTCCGACGATGGTGATCTTTCTTGACTTAAAAGCAGCATTTGACTCCGTAGACCGCGAGATTTTGTGGCAGTATCTGTCATTGAAAGGCGTACATCAGAAGTACATAAACCTTGTGAAGGCTCTTTACTGGAACACTACTAGTCAAGTCAGAGCTTATGGCGAACTGTCATCTGCTTTTGCAACCTCAAGTGGTGTTCGCCAAGGCTGTCCACTTTCTCCATTTCTGTTTAACTTCATCATAGACCTACTGGTGGAAATAACATTCTCGTCGACTGAATTCTCGGGTATTGATCTCCTTCCAGGAGATCCACTTATCGACTTAGAACACGCAGATGACATAATCCTGTTTGGTGAAGACGCTGATAAAATGCAGAGTCTTCTGGTAGCACTAAGCAACAACCCCAGAATGCTTGGAATGCGCTTCTCTCCCTCTAAATGCAAGTTGTTGCTTCAGGACTGGTCTGCGTCAACACCTGAACTAAGGATAGGGAGTGAAGTAGTCGAACGCGTTGACAACTTCACTTATCTTGGAAGTCTGATCAGCCCTAATGCGTTGGTGTCTGACGAAATCTGAGCACGGATTCGAAAAGCTCGTTTGGCTTTTGCCAATTCATGTCACCTATGGCGAAGGCGAGATATCCGTCTATCAATAAAAGGACGAGTATACTGTGCAGCAGTTCGTTCTGTTCTACTTTACGACTGCGAAACGTGGTCATTAAAGAAAGACAATACTCGTAAGTTACTAGTATTTGATCACAGGTGTCTTATAAGTATTGCCAGCATCTGCGGGGATCACTGGGTATGGTATGTAATAGTGAGATTAGAGACAGGGTATTAGGGAATGACGATTAATCAGTTGATGAGATTGTGAATCTTCATCGACTGAGATGGTTGGACCACGTGTTACGTATGCCTGAACACCGATTACCACGACGTGCAATGCTAACCGGTGTTGGGGATGGTTGGAAGAAAGTTAGGGGCGGTCAAACCAAAACGTGGCATCAGTCATTGAAGTCACTAACTTTTAGTCTTAGCCAGGTTGGTAGATGCAGACTACTTGGTTGGGGTCCGCGTGACTATAGTAACCAATCGTTGGAGACTCTTGATGATATGGCTCAGAATTGATCACAATGGCGTAGGTGTATACACTGTCTGTCTTCCCTTAAACTAAGAGATTAAAATCACTTCATATCTTTCTTTCTACGAACTAATTCTTTCTTCCTGTAATATATCCTTATACACAATCTTTCTTTTATATATTACTACCATTGACTTAACCACTCCTATGAATCCAGTGTTCATATTGTTATGCTAATATGGTATGGTAACTTGGATCGATGCATATATGTGCCTGGTCCTACGTTGTAGCTGACTGAATCTGACATTGAACGATTCAGGTATTTCTGGATAGACAAATACGCTATATAATATAATTATAAATAAATTTTATAGCGGTTTTATTTCAAACTAATTGAAAGAGCAAAACATTCGTAACATATGAATAATTCCTTGATGTATATCCTAACAAAGCATATTATGAGATACTTATAGATATATTGAACATTTTGTGATTTCAGTGGATAAAAAGCTTATGGAAAAATGTAATTTTTAGGAATGAATGTTGCTACCCAACATTTTTCGTTTTAGGGTTATATTATATGGTTCTAAATAATAATACAGTTTTATCAATCGAAAAGTTACCAAAAATATGGACTTAAAAGTTAATCCATAAAAGTGATTTATGTAAGCAGTTGTCATTAAATATACTTTTCAGTATATGGTTATGAAGATTGTTGAGTTTTGATTAAGATAATGAACCGATCAGTGTTAGATCACCATTGAATAACTAAAATCACTGGACGGCCGATTCGTCCCAGTATGGGACTCTTCAGTAATGCACATCCACGATCCCCCCTTGCAAGATTTGAACCCCAGACCTATTAGTCTCGTGCGCGTACCCTTAATCTCTAGACCACTGAGCCGGCATCCAACGATGTTAATGTCTAACTACAACCAATCCACGATATTGCGCGAGTGTCCTCCATTGTCTTAAGTAAGTAACTGCCCCATAACAGACACGGTTGGACCATGCTGGTCACGGATTTTCACTAGAACTCCAGAGAATCCGTCTTGAAGCTAGCCACTAGTGAGTACATGATAATTATCAGGATAGGGTTGTGGAGATTGTTGAGTTTTGATTGAAACCATACTTTTGTCAGTACGAAGTTTTAAAGATTGTTGAATTTCATTGGAATCATAGACAGATCTAAGTTAGACCTCTGAAAACCTGGAAGCACTTGGTGGACGTTTCATCTTAGTGTGCGGCTCCTTAGCGATGGACACCCATGACTCCGCATGTGAGAATGATATTCAAAACCTCCGTTCATGCACAAGAACACTTGATCTTTAGACTGCTTTTTGGTCCCCAAACGCCCTAAATACTGCCTTCTCGTAACGAGGGTTTTGTTTACGGAATTGAGAGGACGAAAAGCGGGTGTCTAGCGCTTTAACCAGACTCATGGGCACAGAGGATTCACCTAGGGGAGTTGGAAAGTCCTGACTCCAAACCAATGATGCACATGAACTCCAAGATTCTGAAGGAACAAGTGCCGTATGAACCAATCGTCTATCAATGACTACCATGAGACTGGATCTCCTGACGTTGCTCCACTACCTTGTGCATCAGACCTTTAGGTCGAAGGCTCCGGGTGTGGCCTTTTAAGAGAACCACCTGCTTCTGACTGAGCAATATAATAGCCCACATATGGATCAAGTAACTTGTGTGGTGCATATGTATTTGGTGCCCCTTTGTACCAACATTTATGTCTTCAGGTTAATAAATAAGTAATATACCATTTAGCCGGCATCTAATGGTGTAAATGTCTAACTTAAATCGGCTTATGATTTCAATGTAATTCAACAACCTCCAGAACCTCATACTGACAATTATCATTTGCTCACTAGTGACTAGAGAACAAATTTCAGTAGGAAGTGGTTATTGGAGCTAAACCGTGTCAGGTGTGATGGAGTTACCCAACAAAGACAATAGATGGTCGCGCAATTTCGCGGGTTGATGGAAGTTAGACATAAACACACTGGATGCCGGCTCGGTAGTCTAAAAATCAAGTGTTCTTGTGCATGAACGAAGGTTTTGAATACCATTCCCATATGCGGGGTCGTGGGTGCCCATCGCTAAGGAGCCGCACACTAAGATGAAACGGCCACCCAGTGCTTCCAGGTTTTCAGTAGTTGTCTAACTTAGATCGGTTTATGATTCCAATGAGATCTTACTTGTCTTGAATTACTTGGAACTATGTTAACCAATAAAATAATTACAGTTCGACAACTCCTATTAACATAAGGACTACACGACTTATTGAGTAGTTAATAATCCCGTCTTGATATCTGAGTCTTTGTAGCTAGATCGAGATTTCACCTAAATAATTTTGTGGTTTAAGGTTGGTGGCAGAAGACCTACGTTGATTAAGACGGACTAAAAAGTGAGGATTTAGATTTTTATTACTCAGAAAAATTCGGAAGTATGAAGAGATGATATTAAGAGAATGGATAGTAGTTGCCATTAGACCACAATAAAATCAAAGGGATCTTTTAGAACAATACAACGCAAATGAAATGGTCGATTTGCTACATCTTTGCGCGTTGCAGAAATTATCATAATGAAACAAACACGTGCAAACAAACATGTGTAGTCTTTATTATGGTATGGTATATTTAGATGCTTTGAAGATGCATCTGGAACGCTGGACAAATGTATACACTATTTGTAATTGAGATTTCAATTGTCTAAAGACTCAACTAAATCAGTGTGGTGAATTCTCCGGTGACCGAACACTTTTTAGACAAAAACTAGTTACAATCAAAATTAAATGAAGTATTGGACCAGTTTTTCAGAAAACTTTCTGCTATTCTATAAAAAGCCGAACGCTTGGAAGTTATAATTGTAGCAGGAAATCTTAACGCCCAAGTAGGTAGTCTAAAATAAAGTGATAGGCACTTATGGGGGTCCCAGCTTAATGAACAGACAAGAGGAACCGTCTGCTACATTTTTTTAAAATATTGGTTGCGCATTGCTGAGGAGTCCCACAATGGAATGAGACGGCCGTCCAGTGCTTATAGGTTTTCCATGGTGGTCTAGCTTCACCTGATTCATGATTTAAACTATTGAAGTTACCACAATATCCGTAAAAACCCCTTCTGATAGTAATCAGCATGTGCTCACTAGTGACTAGCTTCAAGAGGTATATCCTAGAGTCCTAGTGAGAAACAGTGACCAGTGGAGTTTAACCGGGTCCGTTGTGAGATAATAACTCACTGATGGCAATGGTGGATGTGTCACTCAATTTCGCGCATTAGTTGAATTTAGACATTAGTACTATTGGATGCCGCCTCAATGATCTAGAGGTTAGGCGTTCGTGCGCGAGACTGATAGATCCTGGGATTGAATCTCGCGAAGAGGGATCGTAGATGCGCACTGCTGAGAAGTCCCACAGTAGGACGAAACGACCGTCCAGTGCTTCCGAGTTTTCCGTGGTGGTCAAGCTTCAATTGACTGATGATCTCAACTACTGAAATTTTTCTCTCGAATCGTATCTTTGATGCCTAGTCTTTTCTATTACCACTGGTACTGTTACTACCTCTACTTTTCTGGGATTTTGTCTGACAATTTCATCCCACTACTCTAATGAGGTCTGATAACTTGAACAGTTGTACATACGTACTAGGTTCTACATTGTGACTGAATGATTGTCTGCTTAACTGATAGATGCTCAACCCATTAGACCCCGAGCAAGATAATGAGTAAAAGCGTAGACTATCAAAAGTATATGCAATGATCGGGAACAAAGGTAGGCAGCTAATGCAAGAGCAATAGAAAATAAGTTAGAGTTAGGCAACAGTAATTAACTTTTCACACTTATAAAAAAAACAGGTATTTAAAATCAAAGAGTTAGTTGAATTAATTCTGAAAGAGATGAGAATTATCTGCTATTAATCGAAGAGACGGGAACGATAAAAGAAACACTTCGAAGAACTGATTGCCTGCTCTCCAAATTCCTTCCATTTCTTTACCTTCACTATGTAATCTGAATAGGATTTCAGCATAAGCCTCCTGATTCTTAATAAAGTAAGAAAATCCATAGCCTATTTAAAGTGATAAAGATAAGTATGCTTTGATGGATCAAACCCAGAGATCCTTAAGATTGTTGGTCTAGTTCTAGCTGTCAGATTGACTGGGATATTAACTAGTCTAGGAACTGGACGTAATCCTACTTGGCTAGTTGCGATCGTTGACCACTGCAGTGTATGAGTAGAGACATTTTTGATTAAAAAGAGGAGTCAGTTTGAATAATATATAATCTAAAGAACCAGCCCAAATAATTATCAGGACCCATTATAGGAACCATGGAGAAGAATATTGGGAAATTTAAATTTTATGATAATCATTCAATTTATTCTTGCATTATCTCCTTGCGTGCTTAAAGGTGATAGGAAAAATACGTCAATCCTTGAAAACTATTACGACTGCACGAAGCGTTTAGCTAATACTATACAGAGGCTTTCTTCTGAGCAGCATACATAAAGAGATGCATCAATATCAAGACATAAGTAAAAGAAATTAATACGCTTACAGAGGATTCACAGTAATACATTGAACGCAATTTAGCAAAAAAGTAATAAATTATCAGGAAAATTACTTGTTTGACCATTTGATATAATATCTGTAGGACCTTTATGGACAATGGTGACACCAAGTTTTTCAGCAAGAGATCTTGTCGCATCTTTGGTATCATATGGTTGAGACGAAAACTGAATAAATGCGTCGAGTACGTTATTGACATAATTACCACAGAATAATATAATCTTGAAAACTCAACAGTGTTTGGAGTAAGAATAGTTTTATCATAACCTTCTACGAGTGATGGATTTTGAGTAACGATATGTAAAGCATCAGCATCAATGACAATAGGCTTGTTAGAATGCTTGCAATAATCTATCAGCTACAAAGTACTATTATTTAAAAGTAAATGGTAATAAAAAGAACTTTTGTAGTATTTTCAACGTTTTCCGTTAGTCCCAGACCAGGTCCAAATGTAATTGCATGAACTCTGTCCATACATTTGGTCGCTTCTGCTAGAACTCCATCCCTAGAAATTAGGTAATGATATGGATTGTTTATACAGAAAATTACAGAACAGGATGAACAATCAATTCGGGACTATATGACTTGATAACAGGAGACGAAGAAGCAGAACATACTACATGAACTAAATCAGCCCCCTATAATTTATATTATTTGTGTATGTTAACTTACACAATGCAAAGCACTGATAGCTGAAAAGTATGGTGCTCCAGTATATCTGCTAACTATCAACAACACATGTATGAACTGACTCTTTTGATCCTCCAACTACGGCGATTCTTCCCATTTGACCTTTATGAAGACCATGTGTTAACTGAGGAATAATATTAGCTATGTCGTCAATCATAATACAGTAGTGTAGCCACAAACACCGATTACACCAATGAAAGTAGGAACATCTGTAAGGAAAATCAAATAGGGATTTTAAGCCAATTAATAAAGAGTGTTGGACTTAAGCGCTTAATAGTGACTTATTGTCTGAAGTGTTCTATATTCATAGTAAAACTTTAACAGGCGAACGATAAACATAAGTTGGTGAATCCAATAAAAGACTAGACAGTGAGACTATAATTTATGGAGGACCGTTGGGCAACGCCAGGATTAGTTTCGGATTGGAAAGGTCCGTCAGTCAGTTACAACGTAGGACCAGGCACATATGTGCATCGGTCCAAGTTGCCACACCTAATTAGCACAGCAAGATGAACACCAAATTCATAGAAGCAATTAATTCAATGGTGTAATATACAAAGGAAAGATTGTATATAAGGATATAGTACGACGCTCTTATCTGCTCCCGGTCCAGACGTTTAGAACGATGAGTGGAATATTTTAGAGAACGGTTCAGCTGGCCTTCAGCTACTCTACAACTACCCTCCATTCACAGACAGTGTGAATGGAACATTGAAGTAGGTCCCCCAACTCTAGCTGAAGTTCAAAAGGTCATAGTTAATTTGATACGAGGAAGGGCAGCTGGTCCAGATGGATTGGCTTCAGAGGTCTTTAAGTATGGTGGTCCAATCTTAGTGATTAGGTTGACTAATATTTTAGCTAAAATCTGGGAGTTGGACGTTATCCCATGTGACTGGTCACAATCGCTTATCGTCCCAATATATAAGAGGGTCAAAATCATCCTGTGAAAACCATAGAGGGATTAATTTAACTAATATAGTATCTAAAATACTAGCCTCGATAATTATCGGACGCCTAACTGAGACTCGTGAACTGCAAACACGAGAGAACCAAGCTGGCTTCAGAACTGGTCTTGGCTGCATTGACCACATATTCACCATTCGCCAGGTTCTAGAACACATGCATACTTATCGGCGTCCGACGATGGTGATCTTTCTTGACTTAAAAGCAGCATTTGACTCCGTAGACCGCGAGATTTTGTGGCAGTATCTGTCATTGAAAGGCGTACATCAGAAGTACATGAGGCTTGATGACCTGTTTTTTGTTCTGGCAATGGATGTCTCTCAGTCGACCCAAGTTCCTTTTGAAAGCATCGACAGATAGAGCTTCAATCACCTGTTTGAAGACGAATTCCATTCGTTGATGATTTAGTGGGGAAATTGATAATCAGCTGACAACTAATTTGTTCTGACCTTGTGAACTTTTTTAGTGTCCTCGTAAACCCACTGATTTGGAGGACAAGAAAAGTGAGCGCATATCAGATGCGAATTTATCCATAAGTAATCTAAATATTGTGATCGAGTTACTCCTAGTTCTTCTATATGACGATGGAAATAGGCTTAGTTTAGCCAGTCGAGTATCAAATGGGAGCATTTCTATCCCAAAAATCAGCTTAATTGCGGTTACTCGAACCTTTTACAATAGCTCACTATCTCCTCTTAGGCAAGAATTATCCGCTTGTATGCAGTACTCGAGTTTAGGACGAACGAATAAAGTATAAAAAGTCAAAAAGTTTTTAGCATCGACATACCTAAAGGTTCTACACAATGATCATAGGATCCTAAAACCTTTGGAGGCTATTATACGGCAATCTGCAGTAGTTTTCAAACCTTGGTTAACGATGAATTTTAAGCCAAGGAGTGTCTGGGCAACAGGTAGTTCAATGTTATTCACTGTGTATGTATCTGTACATTGGGGACTAATATTTATCATCATGCACTTGTAAATATTTGTTGATAACCACCAAAATCTAGACCATTCAAATAATTTATTCAGGTCATTTCGAAGCTTTAAACTATCATCTTTACTTTTATCTAAAGCACACCCATGGGTGTACTAAATTCGGCGAGACTACTTTAGCGACGAGCCAATCAGAAGCGTTTGAGTAATTTCAAGGTCAAGAAGCCAAGTTCAACACGCGATGCTAACATACGATCGGTTCACAGCGGATTTTAGAGAGCAGGTGATTAGCGAGAAGTTACAACAGATGGGACGGCGAGATTATAATTTAGGGACGAGCTAATCAGGAACGCTTGAGCAATTTCAGTTGTTAGCCAATCAGAAGACAGTATGAAGTAAAATATATTACAAGAAAGTAATGAATTACGGTGGATATTCTTTTTTTACATGAATTTCATTTCATGAAATTCATTAGATAGATTTAGCAACCCATTTGTCCCTCAGGTTTGTGTCTGAATGACACTGAGGATCCTGAAGTCTCTCTAAGCCTGCTAAGTACTATACTGTTTATTTAATTTACAAAATATACGACAGAAGTACATCATATTTTCAACCTTCAGCCCATTAATCACACCGACAGCTGTTATTTAATTTTGGGCAGAATCTAGGACTTAGATTGTCAATCTGAATAAAACATCCAGCTTTACCCCCTTAAGTGAGTTGATTAAGGAATTCTGAATTTTCATTAGAGATATTAACAGAAGACAGCCAATTTGGCTGTGCTAGCAAAAAGAGAAATGCAACTCACGTAACGTAGCAATACAGTATAGCGCCAACAATTCAAGCGGTTTCAAGTGGTTAAAAATGGTTCTGGACGGAATAGATAAGCTTTCGCCTGACGAGCTTCCGTATCTAATAGGAGTGGATCACCTTTAGAATGCGAAGTTTGCAACATGACCTATATGGACTAGTCTACACTTTAAAGTGTTAAACATTTATTGTTGTCCTCCCAAGTTTGAAGTCGAGTCAGATCCTCCTAAAATGCCAGCTTATTATCTTGATTCGAAATTCTCGACAAAGTTCCGCATCATCAGCGAAAAGTAACGAACGACAGGATACTCTCTGAGATGAGAAGAGATTTTCTAGTGCTGAACATTGAGGAACCCTACTAGGACGTTCTGAAGCCTATGAAACAGTGAAGTTTACCCTGACCTTAAAAAGTTAATTATTTAGGTACGAAGTAAACCGACCAATCAACGGTGACTTGATACTCTACCTATCGAGCTTACTGATAAGGCGTATCTGACTGGCCCGATTAAAAGCTTTTGAGAGTTCAAAGTATATGTCACCAACCATTACCTTATAACCAAAGATAGGCAGTCTATCTGTCCACCGTGGTCATCAGATTGGCCAAACAAGAGTGACTCACTAAAACCGCGCTGTTGGAGTAAAAAGTCTATAGATAGTAATTAGTGACGTGGACCATCATATAGCGAAGACTCTATAAATTTTATGGGTATTGTGAGGAGTGCTACAAGATGACAGCTTGAAGGCTCTCTGTGTCGAGCTGCTTTGAAAATCGATGCAATGTGAGCTAACCTCCAATTCTCTGATATCGTGTCTCAGCTTGGTGAACGTGATAGCAGCACAACAAACGTTTTAGCAAAGATTGATGCCGCCCCTTTCATTATGGCAGAATGAACGGACCTGGAGAAATAACCACATTTTGGTGTTCTAGTATCTGATATTCCAAGTCTGAGCTCATGTTCACTTCTGAGAGTCCTACTAAATTACAGGCGATGCTTGTCGTTGTCGTTGTTTTCAAGGGGCGGTTACAAATTTTTTTCTGTCAGAAGGTCGATGGCGCACCGTCGTTTTGGTTGGAACTTCAGATTTGCGGAACTTCATTTTCAACTTGTTGAAGAGGGGCTTCATGATGAAATAAGCTTTTCGGATAAGATACAAATTAATCAATTCGCTTTATCCGATGCTAAAGCCTATTTTATTGTCCGCATGCATTGGTGTCGTTGCTTGTTTGAACTGCTTATATGTTCCATCGCCACCAGTTTGTTTGTAATCAATGACGAGCGTCTGAAGGCTTGCTAAACAACACATAAAAATTGGGCAGATTTATTCATAATTCTCTCGCCAGACTCAAATCAGACAAATACAACTATGGTAAAGAATAAAAAGCATTTGATCGATTATTTAAATAACGATGCGGAATATGTTGCTTTTTAGGGAAAATCAGCGAAAACCAATGTCTTTAAATATTTTTTGGTAGTCTGAAAGGGTGTGAGGTGGCGCTACACAAAACCGAATAACAACATAGATCTCTGATAATGCCACGCTCAAATTTCCGGAAGTTAATTTGTGAAATTTTCATTAGCCAACATCACAAGAACGATTTGTAGCTCTGCCGTTGCATTATAAATAATTTTGTCCAAATACGCTTGTGTTTATCGCACGACAAGGATACAAAATGCAGTGATTACGCACACCACAAGGGATTGAGGCTTATCAGCAACATATTTGAAATTTCTCAGATAATTAGCTTGTTCGCAGATTAGCCAAATTTAATCATATGTGCCTTCAAGAGACGAATATGATCGTACCATTTGCTTATACAACAAAATAGTGCCAATGGAAACAATCTTAGAAATTTAACATGACACTCAAAGACTCAATATCGAAGTACGGGGCATGAAATTGTATTTTATAGTGATGATAGGTTTAAAGATGTCACAAGTATTCCGATTTCGATAACGCCCTAACCAGTATCACCGTTATAATCAAAGTATGCCAACACAGCCAAATCAAAAGTCAGGAACCAAAGATTTCGAAGATATGCTTGGAAACCTACCGGTATGTAGAAGGAACGTTTGGCCTAAGCTGGTTTTAGTTGAAAGAGATATATAGCACGACGTAACGACTCGTGATTGGGTCCGGATGCATGGCCGACCACCTTCAGCCAAATTTATCCATTAAACCTGATAAGGCCAGCATCAAATGTCGAAGACTTACGGAGCTATTTATTTTCGGGGTTCACTTACCGCTACAATGGTGATAACATCTAACAATCATGAACAGCAGAACCTCCCCAATCTAACACGAATGCAAATAGCTCCAACCAAGGCTAAGAGCTTTACTACCTGAAGTATTATATCAAATGTCGAAGACTTGCGGAGCTGTTTATTTTTGGGATTTATTTACCGCTTCAGATCATTCAACCTAGTGAGGTAGTGATGACCCTAACACGTGGTTAGTCAGAAGTTTAAACCTAATGATCTTGTCGTTAGTAAATACTCTTGTGATTACTTGCCATGTTCAGCAGCGTGTGGTCCTCTTTCGTTACTATAATGGGCTATGTGATACAATGTAGCAATGAGGATAAAGTTCAATGAAAAATTCACTTCTTCATAACCTTCCTCGGTTTTTCATCTTTTCCAGGCGTCCTGAAAAAGAAGAAAATGATATGTAAGTGCATGTCGAAAAAGACTCGTATGTGAATAAACAAAACGGGAGAAAGAAATAAACTGGTGTACGTGCGTTTTGATAACGCGCAATAGAGTAGAAACAATTTTTGCACGGTGATGTTCCAAGAAAAAAAATATATACATATACACATGCATATGAGCACGTTAGCAAAAAGATTTGTTTTCGGTTTTTTTATACGATGAAACAATAAATAACAAAATGATGTTATGTTGTCGATGCTCTTCTTGTAGGATGTCCACAAAAGTTCATAAACTCAAAAGAAAATAGAATGTAACACCAAATAAATTGATGACAATTAGCTGTCAAAACATCAGACGTGCTAAAAGCACTCCAAATTAGTTTCGAGACCTTGTTCCGGGTTCATCAAACGCCGTTAGAGTTTCCTACGGTGGTCGAACCCCGCGAGGGGATCGTGGACGCGCGCCGCTGAAGAGCCTCATAATAGGACGAAACGGTCATCCAGTGCTGCTAGGTTTCCAACAGTGGTCTAACATCAGTCAGTTCATGATCTTAATCAGAAACATTTCAGTCTTATTCGAAGCGGAGTTAGAAATCAATGCTCTGCCGTTGCATTATAAATAATTTTGTCCAAATACGCGGAGTTAGAAATCAGTGCATAGTGGTTATGTTGTAGCAAAGCGAGCGGTTCAGCGTTATACGGTGACCTTTTTCGATAGTAGACCAACCCTGTACAAACATTCGTCCAATCACGCCATGGAAAACGGATAATAACGCTGAAAAACACTAGATTTACTTCATTTCGGCCTGATAACACAATAACAATAGGTGGTAAACCTGGGCTGGTCACTGATATAACGGGAAACGAATTAATTAAGTTTGGACGATTCATTGATAGGAGTGGTTTATTTAAATATGTTAGTATGTAGGATTATAGTCTACTTCGATATAAGTATAACTGTCTATGCTACTATAATAATATACCTAATCCCAAAATTGTGGATACGTCACGATGTGACTACCTAATCTATAAGAGCCTACGTGGAATTCACATCGCCGTCTACACTAACTCATCCAACCGCGACAATCAGCATTATGGCGCCTAGCACTTCTAAAGAACACATTTGAATTGAGAAGAGAGTAGTAGATTTTATACAATTAGCAGGAGGTTATACGACTGCCCCTGCTTGACTGAGCCATGCCATTTGAACCTAATGTTGCCGCGTTCACCACTCTTGACGTTCTCTTGGTGTTACATGTCGAATGTAAATGTTTATTCAAAAATGCAATAGTACACAAGTTTCAATAATGTGAGCATTATATTTGCCATATTAAAAAAGGGTAATAATAATAGAATAATAATAATAAACTGAGTCTGTGTAGTTGAGAAGAATATTGAGTTGAGTTAAAAGAAGGAATAGGGTAAAATAACGGAATAGAAATAAAGGAGACGTGAAATACGCAAATAGTTTAATAGGCGTGTTTATGAACACAGAACATGAATAAACGACCACGTATATATCGTCAAATTAGTAACAAAAAATAATTAAAAAAATAACTTATTCTCGCAGTAAGATATGACGCCAGAATAAATGTTTGTGCAGTTATAGTTTGGAGTGATGCTATGAAAGTCTCAATTAAATGAAAAGGATAACAAAATATCAATACGTATGAGTTACATATGCATAGTGAAGATAAAACGGGCGTGAGAAGTTAATTTAAATGTAACACAAGTAATCGTCTTAATTACAAACGTCGTAATTTTAAGAATATTCATTTAAAAGGAAAGAAGAGAGAGAAAAGAAGTGGACGCCTAGTGAAAAGGTCCATCCACTGTTATGAGATTTCTCGGTAGGATGTGAAATTAATTCAACGTTACAAACGTGAGCCAAGAGGTATTTGGCATAAGGAATTAGCATTATTGTCATCTTTAGTTACGTCTCGTTAGACCATAGGGAGCCGTAAACTAACAAAGCGTTCTACCCTGCAGATATGAGTGGACTGAGGTTATCTTTTCGTGCCTCTAGGTAACCGTCGTGCTATTGATAGAAGAAACCAGACAAGTAATGAGTAAGTCTTTATTTAGATTTTCGCGCAGTCACAGTGGAGTGTGGACTTATCTGTTTAGACAAACAAAACCTCTCAACACTCAGTGTAAGTGTTATGACCTTGAATCGCTTTTTACCCTGTTGATACTTGTTATGACTTGACCTTGATGCGATAGGGTGAGTGGCATAACCTTGAGTTTAGCAAGCGTGAGTTCGAGATGGGGTAGAGAGATAACTATTCTGAACCTGATTGGTTGGCAAGCACGCAAGTGAGAGAAGACAAGATAGTTGGAACACTGAACCCGGGATTCTCTGAATTCGGATTAGTACAAAAATGTACATGAATAAATAAGTGAAGATCTTG